AACAATCCCTTCTACTCTCAGTAAGTTTCAACCCAGTTAGAGCTTTCTCCATGGCCCACGTTGATACTGGAAATCCCGACAAGGCCTACACAGTACATCTTGAACCACATTCTATCAAAACCAGCAAAAACCAGGACTGAATAGCCTTATCCTCGTCCAGTGTGATCTTAGCACAGTCTGAGCCTTTTTTTCTAGTCCTCGTTGACTATATGTTATCCTCTCATACTTTTTTACAGCTTCAGATTTGAAGGACTTCGTATAAGACGTCTTTCCAGCATAAAGAAAAATAGCAGATGTCCATAAAGATTTCTACAACACGTTCACAAAACTGACTAAACCTAGCATAAAATAATATAAAATTAAATACCAAAATATAACAAATATGTTGTTGATAAGGTTTTGTTCATTTATAAAATAATCTGTATGAGGACCACAACTACAACTAAAACGATAAGCAGATATCACATCATTAGCAAGCTAACCATTTTGAAAAACCAAAAACAATTTTTTAAATCTGAAACTCTGATAGATTAATTAATTGTAGATTTAATTCCATTCCCTAATTAATGATATTTTTAAATTAAATTTGTATCTCGCTTAAAACTTTTTTTAAGGATTTCCCCTATTGCCAACTCCTTTAATTTGAATTATATAATACTAAATAATGACGTAATAGTTAATGGTCGAAAAATGCGTATATCTTTTAATCGAAGCCATTCCTTTCCAAAATTATTTGTAAAAAAATATTTCTGGTTTCCGCTATTCCAATATAGGACGTAAACTAAATTAAAAGGAAAACAAATATTTACATGAAAATATTATTACATATTTTTCCAAGTTAATATTTACTTAATAATCAACTCAAAAATACAATAAGTACATTTTTTTACAATGAACAAGTTTTGATTTTGATGATAGCAATGTTTCGACTCACAGTATCGAGTCATGATCACGTAAAAGATAAATTCAAGTTTTTGTGTTCTTTATACGATCTGAATTTCTTGTAATTGCTTTCTGCTTATCAAAGCACGTTCTTTTTGTTTACATCTTTCAGCATTACTTACAGTCGCACATTGCAAGAAGTCATAAATTTCTGTTTAATGTTTGCATGCTTTTAAATAATATGCAATCCATATTATTTACTTCCATTACTTTCAAATGGTACCAGTTTTACTTTAGTAAATTTACCGGGATTCGGTATTTTACTTGATTTTATTACCGTGCTTACTGTTATTGGTTTTCATTTCATATTTATTATAATAAATTTGACAAGAACTATGTCAGATACGATCGCAAACTGTTTGTAATATGGACAAGGTTATATCAGATATGATCGCAGACCGTTTGTAATATGGACAAGGTTATAACATATATGATCGCACACTGTTTGTAATATGGACAAGGTTATATCAGATGTGATCGCACACTGTTTGTAATATAGACAAGGTTATATCAGATGTGATCGCACACTGTTTGTAATATGGACAAGGTTATATCAGATGTGATCGCACACTATTTGTAATATAGACAAGGTTTTATCAGATATGATCGCAGACTGTTTGCCACTAGACGTGGCCTCGTGACTAGCGTACCCCGACCGTGAATCCGAGAGTTCCGAATTTTTGGCCCGTTGCCACAAGAACAGGCTCTGCATTTTAGGATCGATTGCACTATAAGAGTGACAGTCAAGTACCGCTATTCGGTCATACAAGATCATTTTAAGAGTTTGCTGTGGGGGTTGTTAACAAACTGGACTATCAGTTCAACATTAAGGAAGGATGTGCGTGTATAGTCTTTTTTATAGGTTTGCGTGAAAATTCTGTAAAAAAAACAAATAAATAACCCAAGCCAATATCTTATCTTAATGTTAAACACCTAGTAGGTCAGCGGTAACTTTACTTACCTGCAATACTAGAATCCGGAGTTCGAAAGAGTGCAGATACCCTATTGTGCAGCTTTGCAATAAAACAAACTCACACGAACATCTAAATGTTAAGAAAGAAATATATGTACTGTAGTTTGGCAGAAAACAGGAAAAAAAATGTGAAAACACGAAACCTTGGGGTAACTTTAACCTAAAACAATAATTAAAGTATACAGAGGGTTGTGTAAAATGGAGTATGTATAATTGTGATAGTGGTTACAGTCATTGCGAATATCTATACTTCGTTGTC